TATTGTCCTAGCCTTTTGCTATACTTCAGTTGAAATTCTTCCAGAATTTTATGTGGTGTTTCAGCTAATGTCTGTCCTCACATGAAAAAGCTGAGTATTTGTGGTGAAGATACCGTTACGTTAGCCTGAGACATTCAGGAACACATTCATCTGTTTCTAAAGTTGCAACACATCAGTATCGTTCTGAGATCAATCAGTACCCTGCGCCTGAACTCTCAGCTTGTAGCACAAATTCTTGTTTATTCCCTACGGGTGGCACAACTTTATACGTTTTCAGTATTACATTTGACCCCACTGTTATTTTATCCCCCTGAGCCTTCCTATTACCTTGAGTAGAAGGATTGTTTTCTGAATTGACATTACCTCATTGACATTTCATGTTTCATAAGAAAAATTAATGAACATATTTCTACTACTCCTGTAGAAGAACTCTACTCTCCAGCCAGATACTTCCCTAAGCAGCACAGTGAGAGATGTCTTCCTTTTAATTGGTTTCCTACTCATCATTTTGTTTCTGTTTTGGTCTGCCACCTCCTATCTAACCATTAGTTCAGTTCCCTAGGTGGTGTCATTATAACTAATCAGTCAGACAAATAAAGGTGGCTTATACTACGTGACCAGAGGTTTGATCCCATTCTGTTAGAGCTGCAGTAATGCAGTTCTCCCGAACTCTGAAAGGTAGTTTTCCTTCTGTATTAGCTTTTAAAAGGTTTCCTATCCTCTCCTTTCAGACTGTCTGATTACTCCAATACGCTTTTCAAGCAGTTATTAGCCCAGTTAGGGCTGGATCTCTTCTCTGCAAATATGCTCCATGATTTGGGATTCAGGTTCCTGATGAAATTTATCTAAGCAGAGGTGAAAAAAGCCCCCAAACAAGTATCCTGCTAACATCTTGCCTTAATGAATTTCCTCAGTTCATTGTAATTGACTTTCATGAACTAGCTCTCTTTATTCTTTAGTATTTGTCACTTGAAATACAAAACCTTAGCAGATTTGCCTTAATGAATTTCCTCAGTTCATTGTAATCGACTTTCATGAACTAGCTCTCTTTATTCTTTAATATTTGTCACTTGAAATACAAAACCTTAGCAGAAAATCTTACTTTTTCATAATGAACTTGTGATTATTTTATTAATGATGAATTTAAAGCTGTAGCTAAGGCTCTAGCGATCTTGTCAGGATGACAATTGCATACACAGAATTTGATTCGCATTTGAATTTTTAGCCTTGCAATCTTTTTATCTTTTTTTTTTCTTTTCTTTCTCTGAGAGCTACTCTGTAAAATTGATAGTTCACTCTGTTTTCTGAAAAAAAATGCCTGGTTTAAAATGGTGGACTAGGGTTTTCAACAGACCTGTGCAGCAGCCATAAACTTTGTATGTCTACCAGATGGTACTTCAGTTTGAGACTGCCTGTAATTGTCATGC